TCAGTGCCCGGAAGACCCCAGGGTCCTTACAGCCCTCCACCACGACAGGGCCCTCATGGCCAGGGTTACATGGCCCCTCCCCAGCGAGGTGGAAGAGGCCGCAATGGCGCTGGTAACAACTTCCACCGCATGTCTCTTCCCAACGGTACTACCCGCATTCCCCCCATTCAGACCCAGTTTGGCTCTTACGAGTACCCCATGGCTCCTTTGTCGGCCATGTCATTTCAACAAGCTGCCGTGTGGGACGCCGCCTTCATGGCTGTACTTAGGAGTCAGATCGAGTACTACTTTTCCATTGAAAACCTGTGCAAAGACATGTATCTGCGACAGCGAATGGACTCACAAGGCTTTGTCAATCTTCATTTCATTGCCGCCTTCAAGCGTATTCGGGAACTTACCCCGGATGTGGCTGTGGTTCGAGCCGCGTGCGAAATATCTTCGGAGCTCGACTTTATTGTTGGTGATGATGATATCGAGCGCTTACGCCGCCGTAACGGCTGGCAGAGCTTTATCTTGCCGATGGAAGACCGAGATGAGTTCGCTCGCAACCCCGGCCCGGTACAGGTAACCTTCAAGAACCGTCCTTACAACTATGTCCCCCAATATAACAGTGCTATGCCTGTGCCTTATGGAATAGCTCCCACGATGGGTTTCGCCCTGCAAGGTGATGCTACATTCCAGCAATTAGCAGAAAGCGTACCTTCCGGCCAGGCCGTAAATGGACTGGTAAATGGAAACTGCCACGCCCATGCCAGCAGCACCCAGCTATCCGCTGATGTCCCGGACTTTTCTCCTTCCGGTTTGGCAGGGCGAGCCTCTGATGCTCTGAACCATGCCTCTGAAGCAACCAACGGGCTGACCAATGGAATCCACGCCGAGTAATGCAATCAAGTCGAAAGACGAGTTGAAGAGGCGGGGTTCTGGGAAACGGGCCAAGGGCTATATGAAGCGGGTGTGCAGCGGAGTTGCACCCCGAAAACAGGCCCAAATTGTTGTTTTTGACAAGTCCGTGCGAGAGGCTTAACGGGATCTCATTGAGAGTCTCCCCAGCACAAGCTGAGTGACCGATAGCAGACCGGATTCATCAACACACTTCTAGTATATATTTCGGTACCAGTGTTGGTTTTTGTCTTCCGGCCTTGAGCATCCATCGGATCTGAGACTTTTCTTTTCCTTATTTGTTTGTTTTTGGTTTGTTGATACATGGAGGGTTTATCTGACTCACGGCATCCCCAGCTAGGGTTGGCAGTACTAGGCGTCTCGGCGCGCCTTGGTATAATGGAAGCTAGAGCCCAGCATGAACAAAGAGCCGACATGAGTCTGGCGACTCTGTCATTTCGGTGGTTTCTGGGAGGGTATGGCGTCGATTCGGCGCAAGTGTCGAGCTTTTAAATCTCCGTTCCTTTCTCTTCTTCTTTACGGCTTTTTGCATGGGAACATAGGCGATAGGAAGACTACGTGGCCACTTTTTTGCTTTCGGTGGCCCATATTGATCGAGAGTCGCATGAGGCTCTTTCAGTTTTCAATTTTATTTACGAGGACTTGGTCCGGAACTACGAGCACCTTGGGTTATGGGGGTTGATCGAGAGATCCTCCTTTATCAAATGAAATCAAGTCGACTTCTTACGCCGATGAAGATTTTGGTTTGGGATTTCATTTTTGGCTGGGGACCACAGATGTCTGATAATACTTTACGTCGGTTGGTTTCAGTAGAGATGCATTACAGTTCTATCTCCAAAGTATCGCGCCCGCACATCGTTCCTTGATTCAAGCTACCGTCCAGCACCTGGGCTAGAGGGCAGGATTCACAGGGTCCATCTAGGATGGGGTCTGGGGCGTGAGAAGAGAGGCTTTTTTGTCTCAGTCAGACCAGATTTTCACAGGGCCAGTGGGCGTTTCCGCGGACAAGAAAAAACGCATTACAAAAGTGTATACAGAAAAGAGCAAGTGGAATAGCACAAAACACCATAAGGGGGCATACAAAAAGGCACATGGAATTCATTTTCTTCTCATGTTTGCGCGCACGAAAGTGGACGAATTCTTTCACAACAAAATCAAATCCATTGCTTGCTTATTCGATGCATATTTATTTTTTACTGGCCTACATTCCGCTCTTGTTGTGTTTGTCACGAAGAGTGGATTGGAAACCAGTGTTGTTTTGGGGAGAAGGGCCTCCTTGGTTGCATCTCTTGAGTTTCTTGGAGACGAGAGAGAAAGAGAGGTTGACCTCTATACAGCCCTTTTCCCCTGAGAGCAACTTTTTCTGCTCTTCTTTTCAAGTTTTTCAAATCGGCATCTTTTTTTTTTTCTTGCACAAAACACATTTGATGCTGGACAGCGTGGGTATGATGTTGCTGCGGCACTAGTTGTATTGTATGATAGGATCAAGATAATGGAAAACCGAGCATTGAGTTTTGTACACAGCAGTAGTATGGCGAGATTAAAGGCGTGTACAATTTCATTGGTATATATATCTGCTATCGATGTGCGCATGTTTCCCATATTATTATGTGGTCATGGTTGCGACCACTTTCAGGTACGACGAAGAATTAAATAGCTACAGCCAACCCAGCGAGAGCAATGACACCGGCGACGAGATTGCTTCCAAAGGCGGTAGGAGCGGCAGCCGGATTTGATGTGGTGCTAGGTGTGCCGGTGCTGGAACCGGTTCTCGTACCGGACTGCGAGGCACTTCCAGGAGCAGAGGATCCTGGGGCAGAGGATCCTGGAGCAGAAGATCCCGGGGCAGAAGATCCCGGGGAAGAAGAGGATCCCGGGGCGGGGGATCCTGGAGTGGTGACCTGTACTGAGGAAGTGATGGTTGGGGTGACACCGCTATTCAATCAGTACAAAGACGATGCTGGCGTGCCAGGGAGGAAACATACCTAGTCGTTGGATCGGGCGTGATATGGCCGATGGTAGTAGGGGCAACCGTTCCGGAGGACTGGGAGGCTCCCGAGGAGTCTGGCCCCGAGGCCGAGCTCATAGAGATGGGGAGGATGGTGAAGACGGCGGTGGGAGTGGACTCATTGGGCGTTGGCTGGGACGGGACGGAAAAGAGGCGGGTGCTGTGTGGCCTGTCAGTAGCTCGACTCTATGGCGGGCGATGGGCGGAAGAAGCCCAATGACCCTGGACGGACGTTTGAATCCATCACAGACAGTGATGGTGTTTTCGACGCCTCGGTATGTTTTGTGTGTTGGGGGGGGTTATGAGGGAAACATACTCTTGCCGACGGACGCCGTGTGTGCAGCCTAGGCCAGCGAGCAAAGTGACTGCTGCGACGGAGTACTTCATGTCGACTTGGATTCTTTCTTTTCAAATAGGTGTTGTACGTTGAATATCGGCTGTCTTTGGGGAGAAGGGAAAATTTGCCAGGAAAGGTCAGTCGAGGAAGCCGGGTTCCAGCGTCGCAGCAGTCTTATATAACCAACCGCCTGCTCGGTGTGGGCGGCGAACATCGAGGTGACACGGGAGTCGTGTACCATTTAGGCAGCCGGGTTGTCAGACCCGAAACAAACAAAACACACGGGATGATCGAGGGCCTTGCGACGGGGACAAAGAAGAGATGGACAGAAAAGGTACCGATTGGCACTGCTTGATACGAGCTGCCCTCGCGCATGGATGGCTGCCCGGGGCAGAGGGCCGGATTACGCACGCCGCATGTCGTGAGTCGCCGAGAAAAGAAGCTGGCTATTTCAGGGATTTGCGGGGGGGGCAAGCAAATGAAATCGGATAGAGGTTGCTGGGTGCTCGTGTTTTGGAGGGGAGGCTTCATCTGCGACCTGCCCGGATGGGCTATGATGAGCGTGGGCTTGGGGCTTTTTGCATTGAGGAGAGACAGCGGTTGTGTGCTCTTGGCGTTTTGGGGGGCAGCAGTTCACCGAGTTGATGGGGTGCCATGGACTAGTCTTTTTGTATATCATGTTGGATGGGTTTACGAGGTTGGTTCGTTGGGGTGCGAGGAGCGGTTGCTGCCTCTACTTGGGACGGAGTGGCTTGGCGGCAACGGGTTGTAGCTGTGAGTTCAGGAAACATGCGTCCAGTCCACCAGACGTGCTTCGCATCCTGGGGAGTGATTATTCAGCGATTTTCGTGCTGACACCAGGGCTCGTCAGACGGTGACATCACATTTGCGACCTCGTCAACTTGTGTGGCCAGAAGGCGGTGGTGGGCGGGGCGGCAGTTGGAGTCACGATGCCATGCATCAACTTGCATTTTTGGAGGCAGTGCTTGTGGCTGGGGCTGCGAAGGGCCGCAAAGAATGAATTACCGGATGCATGACCTGCCAACTGCTGTCTGAATTGTCCATATGTCCAGATGTCCCACAAGCAATGGCTGCCATGCCTTGCACGCCCCATGCAGAGATTGATTCTCAACTCCGTACTTTATTCATGTACTCCATACTTGGGCTTTGATCGATGTGAATGCATTCACAACGAGACCATTGGGCTCAGGCCCGCCGCTCATGGCAAGGATCAGGCAGCTCTCGAAAGTCCACTTCTTGGTGTTGGCGCGCTTTTCTCATGTCCAGTTCATCCTCTCATTTGCCCAGCCACCCGACCCTTGCTTGACTTGACGCAGACACTTTGGAGCCCCATTGAAATGGCCTCCACCTTTTCCTTTGTTCCAAGCTTCTCCCGCCTTGCCATCAGGAAAGGCGAAGCTACTACGGAGTAGACCATGCTGTGACGGCGGCGGGCGGCCCCCAGGCACCCATGTGTAGGCTGTGTGCCCCTCTTCTCTGGTGGTCACAGATGTCGCCTCCCACCACCTTCTTCAACTAGGGAACTGGTCCAAACTCCGTTGACACCGGACCGGCACTCCCACAACTACAACTGCGTCTTGTTTACGAGGCCGATTCGTTTTTGTTTCTGGGCAAGCGCATTCGTTTCCCTTAAGCTCGTGTCGAGTCGCAAAGTCGCACTGAACAGCCAAGCAGGCGGCACTACATGACCCCTCAGCCCGCCGCCTTTGCCAAAAATTCACCCCGCCGCTGGAGATGGCCAGCTACGACGCCTACGAGCGGGATAATCCCCGCCGCGGATACGTACGAGAGGACCGACGCGACGACAGAGATGCACGCTTCGTCGACTCTCGCGATTATGCAAGGCCCGTGCCGTCGAGAGAGCTAGTTCCTCGGGCCAGAGAGGACAGTGAATTGTCGGTGGAGGAAATCCGCCGAGACTTTCCCCCGCCCACTGGACGAGACATTCGCAGAGCCCGCTCTGCAGACCATGACCGTCACTATTACTACGAAGATGACTACGACTATCGCCACGACCCTCGTCATGACAGATCTCGCGAGCATGACCGCCACTCGCGCCACGGGGGCTTCTACTACGAGGAGGAGGAACGCAGGTCCAAGCACAAGAGCATGTCCAAGCAGGACAAGATCATTGCTGCCGTCGCCGGTGCTGCCCTGCTTGCCGGCGGCAAGGAAATCTACGACCGCTACGAAGCGAAGCAGGAGGGACTTGAAGTGCACCGCAACCCCCTCTCATCCGTCGCCCTCGCCGGGTTTGGGGCCCTGGCTGGTTATCAGGGTGCCGAGTTCTACAGCAAGCAGCAGGCCAAGAAGGACCAAAAGACCAACTACATCCTCCACCGCGGCCGTGACGGGCAAATCAGCGAGTACTACTCTGAAGATGACGACGACAGGCACAAAAAGGGCCACAAGAACTTTCTCGAGAGTGCTCTCGCCGCCACGGGCCTCGGGGCTGCTGTCAAGACCCTAACCGGTGGAGGCAAGGACGATGATAAACACTCTGACAATCGAAGCCGTGGTGGTAGCCCGTCGCGGTCCCGCGCCGGCTCGCCCCGCTCCCGTTCCAGCGGCGCTGGAGCCAACAAGATGCAAAAGGCTGCCATGGCGTCCCTACTGGCCGGCGCCACCGAAGCTTTCCGTGTGGCAAAGGAGCCCGGCGGCTGGAAAGGCGAGAAGACGAAGCGTATTCTCACCGCTGCTGCTGGCGCCGCTACTGTCGACGCTGCCCAGGGAGAAAAGCATGGCAAATTGGGTCTCGCCGAGTCGGTCATCGGCGGCCTGGTCGGCAACCGTCTCATAAATGGTTCCAAGAAGGACATTGAGGAAGACAAAGCAACGGGGCGAAGCCGATCCCGATCTCGGGCTCGCTCACAGAGCGGAGGCGGAGGCGGAGGCGGCGGTACCGGTCTTGCCGCCTTGGCTACCGCCGGCTTGGGTGCCCTGGGTGCAAAGGCAGCACTGGATCACCGATCCCGATCGCGAAGCCGTGCTGGTAGCCGGGACCGAAGCTACGATTCTAGGGATGGGTCACCCGACAGGAGGCACCGCAGTCGCAGTCGTAGTCGCAGCGTAGTCGACAAAGCTCGCAACAGCTTGGCCAAGCTGGGAATTGGTGGTGGAACCGTGGCTACCGCTGATGACCATCGACGCCGCGACCAAGACGACTTTGATGACCGAGCATCTTCACGACGGTCTCGAAGATACTCCGATGAATATAGCGACGACGGCCGATATGGAGGCGGCCGCGGCCGTGGAGGGGACGACTACGACTATGAACGATCGCACCGCGGCGGCGGCCGGCGAGATTCGTCCCGTAGGCGAGGCGGGAGCCGGTACGGATCCGAGTCTGACCTGGGTGACTCGGATGAGGACGAGAGGAGGGCCAGAAAGATGAGAGGTAAGCAGGTCATTACTACTGGTCTTGCGACTGTTGCAACGATCCACGCAGCACATGAGGTTTATCAAAGCATGGAGAAGAGGAATGCACGTCAAAGGGCTGTCAAGGAAGGCCGTCTCAGCACTGCCGAAGCCAAAAAGCTCAAGACCAAAGCCATCATGAAGGACGCAGCGTCTGTTGGCATTGCCGCCATGGGAATCAAAGGCGCCATCGAAGAGATGAAGGAGGCCAAGGAGATGACGCATGAGTGCAAAGTCTTCAAGCAGGAAAAGGCCCTCCGTCACCAGAGAAGAGAAGAGCGGCGCAAAAGAGCCACGCAGCCGGGGGACAGACCCCGGCGAGCCGAGAGCTGGGCACCGTCTCGTTATCGTGACGAGGACGACCTTTACAGAGATGACTATGGACCACGGTATTACGACGATAATCCGTATGGCTCAAGCAGACTCCCTGCGCCCCCCATGGGTTCTGGTCGATGAGAGACATGTGCTCATCCGCTCTACGCTTTTTCTTACTGCAGAGTATACTAAACATGGCTGGTCAACAAAGTGGGGGGTTATGGCCAAGTGGTGTGCTCTTCAACATGACTGAATGACATTTTATGAGAAGACGTCCGTGCTCTTATCGAGGGCTTCAGCAATCTCAGCGACATGTACACGGATTTCTTGTCGTGCTGAATTATTTTATGACTTGAGCTTGGCGTTTCCTTCCTTTTCTCCTCATTGCGACACTCCAGAAAACGGCAGCGCATGATAATGAATGGATGCAATAACAAGAAAAATGATGGCCCAACTACTTTTCTCATGTGCTGCGTGGCGCGGGTAACTGCATTTTGAGCGACGGTTCTGCGGTGGTTCCTTGAACAGAGCTGTCGACATCACGGATCGCTCGGCATGCAGCCCTCTTTTTTTTGCCTGCGATGGTTACACTCGCTCGAATTCTCATTTTCTTACCATTTGTCCACTAGCACGCTGTTTTTCTTTTTGTCCTGCATTTAACGAATAGCTAATGACCAATTTCTTGTGACAGATCGCCGTTACTAGTGCCTCAACTTTTTAACCCAACACGGACGAGAGATACTGGTTGCTACGAGGACGAAGAGAGGCAAGGAGCCGAGGCACGCATCTTGCGCGGCAGGCAATAATGCATGTCGGGCGAGAGAGTTTTGGTGCCGGGATTCCACAGCCCGTGTCAGCAAATGGACGCACGAATGGAGGTGCAAAGTGATTGCGTGAGGGGTGGAGGCAGACGTCATCGATCGCAAAGGTTGAAGGGGTTGTTCCTTGATTTTAGCGGTGGGAGCCCGAGGGTCGCGCCGCATGTCGCTGCATGACGCTCGGGAAAGTCGGCTTTTTTTGCGACTAGGTAGGGGTTGATTTGAAGCAAGGTACAAGGAGAAGACGAAAAAAAAAATGACTATGTGTGAGCAAGAGAGGTAGAACGGGGTGGGAAATAGCTGGGCATTTGGAGGCTGTCTCGTGTTTTGCGTATTGACTTTCTTTGCGGGTGGGCTGACTGGCTTGCTTGCATTGCTGCCTGCCTGCCTGCCTGCTTTTCAGGTCGATTTCAATGTTTTGCTTTTGTGTACTCTGATTGAACTGGTAGATGGGCGGATAACACGTATGAATGAATGATGAAATGATGCAACCTTTCACGTCGCATAAGAGTGTACTTGTCTAGTGAGGTATTGTGTCTTTGGAGCTTGTGTCGTGTCCCACTAACTAAAGTAGGTGCTTGGTCGGTCGCGCACCGCCGAAACACCCTATACCCTCACTTTCCTAGGATGAAGCGAATAATGGCTAGCTGAAACCTATAATTGTGTCGGCTTTTAAAAAAAAAAAAAAAAAACCGAGGAGATGAGAAAAAGTTTAACTACTTTTTAGTATTTTTTAATACTTGACTGGGGGTTTTCCTTTCCTGTGCCGTGTTTCTCGTGTAGGATTCTTACCGGCTATCAGGTGGCTCGTAAGTTGGTTGTGTGCACTCACCTATCAGACGAACCTGTCCATGAAATTACCAACCTCCATCAAGACGATTCAGCTCCATCGCATGTGCCCGCTATACCATCCCGACACGGGTGCTGGCCCGAACAGCCCAGGAAGCGGTGCGCGCGCGTATCGAGGTGCAGCTTTTTAAAAAAAAAAGTGATAAATAAACTTGGGGGTTGCCCAGCAGGGGGGGGGGAGGCAAAAGAGAACCAAAAAATTGACCGAGACAGGGGTCGAACCTGCGACCTTCTGATTACAGAGAATTAACTGTTGTTAATCGTAGTCAGACGCTCTGCCATTGAGCTACACGGCCGTTGATACGAGTGGATCATGTTGAAACGGCAGGGGTTAGGTAAATTTTATTGCTTCCCATGAGAACCTCTTGTGAGTATGGGCCTCAATACGACAGATAGGTGGGTGGTTCTTGGTAGGCTGGGAATAAAACTTCAAGGAACTTTCCCAGTATGAGATACGACATGGTTATTAGCTGTTTAATCTGTCCGTGTCCGTACACGATGGCGCGCCGCCAGGACCAGTGGCATTTTATTTCTACTTATACTTGACAACACAACCTTCACGCCAAATTTACGAGCACGCGACCGGCAACCGTTTCAAGAATATGATGATACACAGGCTATTTATTCCCTTAGACGCCCGACAAGTCACCCCCCGTCTGCTTCCACTTCTGCGCCATGGCCATGATGTTGGACAGATTCTTGGCCTGCTGGTCATCCGCAGGGAACACGTAATCAAAGTACTCCTCGTAGGTATCGTCCTCCAACAGCCTCCTCTTCTTGGTCCTCCGCGGCATCTGCCTCTGCACCTTGTCCACGTCCTCGTCGGACCCGTGCTCCCGCTCAAACGACAGCCACGCATTGAGCAGCGACACGCGCTCCTCCTTGAGGTCCTTGTCGCGCATGCTCTTGTGCGCGCGCTCAAAGACGTTGCGCGCGCGGGCCTTGGCCTCCTCGCTGAGCGGCTGCTCCTCGGCGCCCTCCTCGTCCTCGGGGATGTTGATCTCGAAGTGGGCGTAGCTGATCCAGACCTTGACGTGGTCCGTCTTTTCCAGCAGCCGTTCGTAGAGCTCGCGCGTCCGCTCGTACTCGCCTTCCTCCTCTTCAAAATCAATGTATGCCTTCCAGAGAAGCTCGGGCATGTCGAGCTGCTGCTGGCCAATGGCGAGCTCGAAGATGGCCCGTGTGCGGTCCAGGTCGTCTAGGCCGCGCTCCAGCTCGGCGAATTTGATCCACGTCTGGCAGTTGGCCGGATTGAACTCAATGTGCTTCTCGTACAGTGTGCGGCAGCGGACAAACTCGAATAGCTTGCGCTCGATGTCGATGTAACCATTGAAGATTTTGTCCTTGGGGCACATGCCGATGGCGCGGCCGAGCAACTTTCGCGCGGCCGTGAGTTGGCCCTGGCGCACCTCGAACTGCGCTGCCAGAAGCCACACCTTGGCAAATGTAAACTTTTTGTGAGGTATCAGGCTTAGGCATGTGCTGTATATCTGGCGCGCTCGCTCCATGTCTTGGCCTTCGAGCTCCTCCCAAACGGCATAGAATATCCAGAGGTATATGTATCGTCGCCAGTGCCGCTTCTCCTTCGTTGGGGGTACTTGGGCCACTGCCCTTTCGTAGACGTCGCGGATTCGATCAGCATCTCGGGACGATTCTTCCAACCCGGCATAGTCGAACCATGCGTCGTAATTTTTGGAGTTCTCCTTGACTTGCTCCTCGTAGTAGACTCTTCGCTTTGATAGCACCACGTCTTCGACGCCGTCCTTGTCGCCGAATTGCTTCTCAAACGTGGTATATGCTTTGTGCAGTAGCCTCGATTTTGACCGCGGCAGCCTGTCCAGGGCATATTTGTAAATGGCACGGGCACGTTCGTACTCCTTCAGCTTTGATTCGAATCGCGCGTATGCGATAAACAGTCTCTCGTCTACAAAGTCGTCGCCCAATGTCTCGACAGCATTTCCGAAAACCTCTCGAACTAGCTCGCTCGTCCCATACTCTTCCTCAAACTTGGCCCACTTGATCCAATTGCGCGGTTCTGGGTGAACCGTGGTAAAGTTCTCAAAGATGGCGCGCGCTCGCTCAAACTCACCGTACCGCTTCTCCAGCTTGATGTAGGCACTCCAAGCCGCTTCGTCGGGCTGCCATTGCATCCATCGGTCAAATACTTGTCTGGTGCCGGGAATGTTGCCCAGCATCTCCTCCATGTACACGTACTTGTACCACAGCTTGTCGACTCGGGGCAAAATGGTGACAGCACGGTCCAGCAGGTTTCGTGCATGGTTGATATTTCTCGACTTCATCTCCGCCTCGATATATCTGATCCAAAGTACGACATTGTGAGGGAGGACATCGAGGGCTCGCTCGAAGACGGACCTCGCGCGGGCAAACTCCTTTTGTTCCAGCTCCCACTGCGCATACTGCGTCCAGTTCTTCAGGTTGATGCGGTTCCGGCGCACATAGTCTTCAAAATCCTTGCGCTTTCTCCCTTGATACTCGTGCAGCTCCTCCAAGTCGGAAAACTTCTGTGTCGGGGCTTGAATGCCGACTTCTTGGCGATCGACGGCTTCGCGGAGGAGCTGTTCTGCGCTGATCTGAACTGGCGCGGCGGCCTTGTTCTTGACCCTTGGGGGACCCCTTGAGGACTCCATCGTGAATTGAAACGACCGCCTCCCGGTGCAAATTCAGTGATGAGAGTTGTATGCGAGCCGGTCACCCGCGGGTTTGGGTGCGTGGTTGTTGTGTCGTGTTGTGTAGCGTCGTGCTACGACGTGCTTGTCTATGAGGTGAGGCTAAATCCTGGTTGCGCTTATCAGCGATAAGGTTTTGCTTGTTTGGCCGACGCACGGGCCACATGCTGCTTTCAATGTTCCACGACATCATTTCGCAGTCGAAACCTGAACAAAAAATAAGCATCTGGACTTATTTTGCACCTTTCTTGCCAGAGGAACCCCTTCATTCCGCCACATCCGCGCTGCCACAATCGCTGCAATGTCTACCGTTGCTGACGAGCTTTTGAACGATTTTGGAAGTTCGGGGGACGAAGCGGAGGAGAATGACAATGATGGCCTGGTGAACGACGAACCCCAGGAAAATGGCGACCACGATGTCATGGATGTCGATGGTGACCAAGAAGGATCAGACGATAACGAAGGAAACGACATGAAGGAAATGGGGGATGCAGAGGCAACCAAGGCGAAAGTAGAGAAGATGCAGCTCGGCGCAGTCAAAGATGTGCGCAGCGTTGCCAGCTTGATGCAAACGCTGGAGCCAGTTCTCGAAGTTAGTATTCCCCCCCAATCCAAGACGACGTCGATTGCATTCTTTTGAAAGACGGCTCGTTTACATCCAGTTTCTTGAGACACAGCCCTGACATTTTGGACCGAGCGCTGTAGAAAATCGAGCAATACCGATCACAAACATCCACGCAGACTACCAATGCTGGCAACATCGAGGACCACCCAGAGTATCATCTGT